GGGGAAGAGAGGAAAAGAATAAAGCAATTCTGACAAATAATATGCTGGAACACCACCTATGCATTTAAGCCAAACTTTCAACTTTCCTGGAAAGACTTCATTTCAGGCAGAAAAGGGTTCTTTCTCAGAACAGTACTGGTTCTGTGAATTAAGTAATAAGGCTACAGTCCAAATGACACATTTAATGATTCCAATAATTTCCAAGTACTTCACAGCTTAAATCCCTGTTACTCATAATCAACTACAAACAGCAGTCCATATCCACTACAGATTGTGCATCTTTCTCACCATTCAGATTTCTTCTTTCTTACAAGTCCAGAATACTTTTCCTGAAGTACAGCACAATAACTACAGGTGTTTGCTTAAAATCAAACCATTGCCATTGCAGTAAAATCCAAGACTGCGCACTGGAATAGTATCCATCATTTCAAGGTCAGAACTGTAAGCCAGCACTGCAATCTACTTTGGTTTCCTTGTATTTAACAAAGGCTTCACAGATCTACAAATTCATTAGCACCTTTAAAATTGAAGACATCCCTTCCTGCCATCAGTTTATGGCATACTTGTTGATGCTGTCTTCTCAGTCTCGTCCCATGACTGGACTTGGTTACTTAGCTGAAGACTTATCTGATCTTCTTTTCCTTCCACCATTATTCACCTTTAAAAATTCACCTTATTCTTCTGTCTTTCCAATGTTTCTCATCTATCTTCACAAGGACTGTCTTAACAACCCCCCATTTAAGTGTTTTTTTCCAACACCAACAGTGCTCAAAACTGTGACTGACACCAACAGCATACTGCTGAAAAAATTCACCTCACTGAAGCCACAGGACCTTGTCAGCCTGCTTCTACAGCAGCTTTTAAAAGTTCTGCACTAGAAAATTGTCTAAAAACCAGTACAAGTAGAAAATCTAACTCGGTGTTTCAAAGGAAAATATGTTCAACGAAGTGTAGGAAAACAAATAATAAATTATACTGACGAGGCAGGAGAAGGAACAGCCATTGCTACAAACTGCCGCAGTGCTCATAATGAAAGGCACAAGAACAAGAAGTTTCAGAGCTCAATGCCGTTCCCATCTACCTTGGCTGTTAAAAAGCCCTGCTTTATTTCTAGTTTCTCCTAGTTATTAGCCCAAATAGCCAGCACCTGTCAAACTTGCTCTCCTTTCTGTTATACACAAGGATTACACCAAGCACTCATGTTCAGCTTCTGTAATATCCAAGTCATTTTCAGACACTATTCCCGAGGACAGAATCCTTCATTTTGTAACATACAACACGTGTAACACAAACATGGAGAAATGCAGATGGACTTCCCTCCATCCCCATTTCCACTTCTTAAAGCAATCGAGGAACCTCTGATCTCCTATGGCTATTGGGCTCCCGGTAAAGGTCTCAGATCCAACAGTAAGCCTATTCTTACTTCCATGCGGTTAAAAAGATGTTAAATAGTACAAGATAAGAAGGTAATCTAATGTTTTATTTCATTAGAAACATTGGGGTTTATTGACAACTCCTAAATGAAATGTCAATTTGAAGTCCATTCATTCCCTAGACTTTTTTATCTATTTCATAACTTCTGTGCTGTTTTTATATTCTTCTCATGTCTTAACCAAAAAGTCATGCAGTATAAACACCAAATCAGAAATCTACCATTATTAGCTAAGTTTACAATCTCATCAAATAGATAATTCGTATACTTCTCAATTCACATTAATCAATCTTCTCCATTTCCTTCACCAACCACACTGCTGCTCTGCTGGACACGGACACACATGCCAGGTGACCAGGCCTAGCATTATCCAGCTGATTCCATTTACCAATTTAAAATACTGAGAAATAAGCCTAAGTGAGGGGGAGGGAAATAAAACATGTATTACAACTAGAAAACAAAGTTAAACGACTGAAGTTATAATTTGAAAGATTATTGTGATGTTTATTACTTTAAAGTGATGCCCACAAACTTCCTAGCAGCTGTGGGATAGATGATATTTTCAAGCTCTATTTGCTATCCAAAGTTTGCAGGCTGCCAGGAGATAGACTGCTTCCCCTCCGGTAATTCTAGAAATACACAAAACTTTAAAAGTAGCAGCTCTTTTCCACAGTGGCACTGGCAGAGATCCAAAGCTAGAGCCCCTAAAGGATCCAATATACTTAAATAGGATTCCAGTTAATAGGATGCATGAGAGTCCTCCTTTTAAAAATTGGTTCTGTTACGGATACTTACCAATTAGGCCTCTAATTCTAAAAATTTCTAAGAACAACAACTGTTCTGAAACTGCCTTTTGCAAGAGCAACTGTACTTTTCTAAATTTGCATAAATTAAAAACATCTTGTGAAAATTTCCAGAGTACATATACAAAGCAGCCTCCCTCCACGCTGAGATAATCTGTCATCGTGTCTTACATCATGCATCTGCTTTTCATAGGTTGCAAATATCATCAAAGGTATAGGAACTAGCAAAGCAGCCTATGTAGCTCTGACCTTTCTTGCAAGTTAATGAACAGACATTTGTTTCTAAGAGCATTCTTACAATCAACTGTGCTGACATTAAATGGAATTTTTATGCAGGAAAATTTCCTGAGTAATGTATTTCATGAGTATTTCATGACAGTGATCTCCAGCAACAGAAGAGCGCAGAGCTGGAAAAGGGAGAAGCTTGCTTCCTAGCTGTAGACCTAGCTGTTTTAACAAAACCCTATAAACCTAAGTCATGGTAAAAACCACAGCCGCCTCCTTTGCAGGCCTTTCTGCGTTAGAACCAAGGCAGAAAAGACTGGTTGATTACTTAGGGTAACAATTTAAGATGTATTGCCTGTCTGTATTCTGCTTTTCACATATTCCCCATACCTGAGATGCAGCTCTTGCATCCATCTCTGGTTTTTAATATTTTGCCTACCACAAAGTGATGTTTGGGTTTTTTGCCATTTCCTATGCAGAATATGCAATAAGAGTTTCCGAACGTAGCTATCCAAAGAGCTTAGTGTTGTGCCCCCAAAATACCACCTTCTCTTCCACCATTTCCAGTCTGTGCTTTGCATACTGGCAGAAAGGAAAACATAGCACCATCATAATCAACTACAAAAGTTGTTGCTGTTGTTCACATTTGCTGCTGTCTAAACCTGCTTGTCAAGAACTCATGTACGCTGTGCAATCCTGTGTTTGCTCAGTGAGCCTGCAGACAACATAACCCAAAAGATTTCAGACAACGGAGGAGCTACGAAGCAGTTCTAGCTGATGAGGTCCCACACATGAGCTTGTAAACCTTGACTGAAAGAAAATGTAGGAAACCCTTCATGCAAGCAGCAGTTTCCACTCAGCATCCCCCTTCCTCTCTGATCAGAGTGAAGTGTTCATATAAAACCTTTTTGTATTTTTAGGTACAGAATGGAGCGAGTAGGTCTACTGGGCAAAGTGAAAAAGATATGTCAGCTCCCAACATGGAGTAGAAAACCTTATTACAAGAAGACAACTCTTAAAACCAGGAGAGATTCAGTCAACTGAAAGTTCACATACATGTCTATTCAACGAGTGCTAGATTGTAGTACGTAAAATCAAAACTTGACAAAATTCTTTCCTCAAGTCAGAAGCAACAAGAAGGAACTGAAACATTACCGGAAAATTCTGCTGTTTAGAAGAAAATTTCAAACAAGTACTTAAGACACAGTTACAGTTTTTATGGGTATATCTGAGCAGATGAATCAACTCTTAATCATACAGCATTTACATGTACTAGAAACCAGTGTGAGTGGACTGACACCAAAAAAATTATTTTTTTTTCAGATGTCTTAACTAAACCAGAAGAAAGGGAAGAGAGGATTTTACTTTACCTACTGAAAGTAACAAGGAGGTCAGTATATAAAAACAGAAGCTATGAAATAATAAATATGTTCTCTGTTTTCTATACACATTTGATTTTTGACCTAGCTTATTTTTCTAACTGATAAAATAACACTTTAGAGCTGCAGAAAAGGAAAACCCAGCCTGAGAATTATTATATATTTCCAGTAAAGGCAAGAAAATGTTATGCCAAAAAACTGCCTGGATCTCATCTGAAGTTATGTATTAAAGCAACTGAATTCAAACTTGGATAGGTGTAGAGGAAGGTTACCAGGTAATACTGCGGGGTGGTGGGCCAGAGAAATCCATGTCTCCCATACCAATAAGAGAAACTTGGCTTATTAAGGGTAACATCACAAAAGCATAGAGAAGACACAACTGCAACGTGTAAATGTGCTCAAGGGAGTAAATACAACAGACAGAATGTAACTATTGCAACTAAAAGGAAGTGGGCTCAATGGTCAGTGTGTTAGAAATAGGTATTCATTTTTGTTTAAAACTACAGTAAGTTTTATAACTCTCCTAGGAGGGATGATTAGGCTGATCAAGAGCAGCCTGAAAAGATGGCAACAGGAGCCCTATAAGAATTAAGGACATAAGGTAGAATGGTGGAGCACTAAAGCACAGCAAGTTACTGTATTTGTGATAGGAGATCCAGGACAAGAGCACAGTTTTTGCTGCATCAAAGCTGATGAATGCTTTTCAGCTTTCATGAATCAACTCATTAATTTCCTTTGCTGCAAGTGAGCAAAATAGCAGAAGATTTCCATAGGAACTGGTTAGTTTCAATACTCAAAGAAAAGGAAGACAGGCCAAAATTTCCCCGAGTATTTTAAAAATTGATACACAAATTGAATAAGGCACGCGCTAGCTGATAAACAGGTATTTCAGAAGCTTGATTCCAAAAGTAGGGAGTTTCTTTTGCAGATACTGTCACCCAAGATCATCTTTCCACTGCATTTTTGTTGCAATATGTTTTACAGTTAAAGCAGATAATATAACTGCCAAATCCCGTTTAATTTCCATAACTCAAAAGAAAAATCACAGAGGGAAGAATACATTTAATAGCAGGAGTAAAACAAAGCAGCCCAGAAGAAAAACTGTACGCAAGAGACACAGCAGAAAAGCAACAGATCAACTTGTCAAGGTGGAGTTACACAGATGGATTCTCAAAACTTAAGACAGTCTATTAGCATATCATTAAAAAAAAATTATGACATACCAACTGTATTGATCAGGCTTTAGACAACACACTGATGATGGATTTACAATGTCAGTAATGGTTCCATAGTTACTGGTTTCTTGTTGCAGTTCTACTGATTGTTTCATACCAAACTAGTACAAAACTCGAATAATTATCAGAACTGAAAGACCATATGGGTATGGGTCAAATTACATACTTGCTCTGCTTTCACCTCTAATACTGAGCAACTGTCTTCCTATAGCAAAGAGGTTATCTTTAAGAACTCTCCATAAAGTCAGTTAGCAACCATATGATGCATTTTGTTCATTTAAGGGGGAAAAAAATGAAAAAGCCTTACTCTTTGTATCCAGCTGAGCACGATATTTTTCAAATCCCTTGAGTCGAACTCGTTCTCCCAAGAGCTGCAGAAACTCTTCAAATGCTGGACCTGCTGATTCATTATTATACATTTCCTCTTCTGTGCTTTGCCCAGCTTTGCAGTACATGATACCCACCTTCAGTTGGTAACTTAACTGCAAAGGTAAAAAGATTAAAATCTTATATGTATACCAAGTGATGCAGCAACTTATTTATTGAGTTCACTTCACATTTTTTAATAAACCCATAATTTGCAAAGAAAAAAATACCTAATTATCAGTCTAATTTCAAATGTTAGTCTAGTTCCAAATACTTTCATTGTTTTCCACTAATTCTCCCAGTGATGGCATATTTCATCTGAAGATGTCAAAATGCTTTCTGAAGTGAAACAATCATTAATGTTCCTTATTTTCAGGAGGACAACACTGCAGCTTGCAAATGGTGAATGTCTTACATTAAGCCACATGGAAAGTGCTGTCTGAGCAATGCCAGGAACATGACTCTTACTCTTAGGCTGGTACCATGGTTACTATGCTATGCCAGACCTTCCACGCAGAAGGATAGGGCACAGCATGTGCTCATTTCTATAATAAGTGACAAAATTAACATTCCCTCACTTCAAAGAGAAGATAAAAATTATTCACCTATTAGTACATTCACCTGTTAGCAATGTTGAAAGAGTCTATGGCATTCAGTTGGCCTTCTCCGACTTAAAAATGCAGTAATAAAGAAAACAGCTAAAAGAGAAATTCTGGTAATACTTTAAAGATACTATTTACTAGCATAGAAATTCAAATATATTTCTGCTTTTTAGTTCGATTTTTCCTCTAATTTGGTGTTTGACATTCCTAATACAGCAGAGACTGAAGATGTGAATAAAGTAATTTTTTACCCAACGATACTTGTGACTCTTCAAAGCAAACTGTTCCCACCAATTCCACATCAATGCACACACAAAAAGGACCACATCTGTGCCCTTTATGTCTGGACTACAGAGACAGAAGTTACAGAAGGGAAGAAAGCAGCACCCACAGTCATTTACTGCTGTCTCTAAAACAAATTTCACAAGCAGGAACTCTGACTGGTAGAACGCAAAGGAGAGCCTTGGAGTTTACACATGTAATTCATCCAGTAAAAACGCATACTTACTGCACGGTAAATAATCTCTCCTCCCACACACAAATTTCTTCAGAGGCTCCATTTTAAATAAATACCAAGCAGATCTGCCAGAGCAAAATCACAAGAAAATCTACCAAAACTGGCAAGAGATTTACAAGTTTGGTCTACAGGTTAGTGGAAAGTGAAAACAGTTGTGTGCAAGCGCACTGGAAGCAAAGTCATGTGAATATACTGTGATTTGCTCTCAAAGCTTCTATCACAGGTCGTGAGACAAAAGGTTTTAGAATTTGCTGGGATGATGTGGACACACATAATTAAACTGGAATTTATTAATTTTAACTTATTATATTTATGGTGGGATAATTTAAAAGCCCTCAGAAGTGGTCCTACTCTGTCTCTAATTAAAGTAAATTTTAAAACTAAAAAACTCTGAAAACTGCAACTTTACTGTATACTTCTTTTACTACCAAGGATGAATGGTGACAGGGATAAAGTATTAGCAGTAGGAAAACAAGGAGGGGAAAAAAAAAAAGGGGTAAATATTAACCTGGCTTGATTACTCCTGTTGAAGAAGTTAAGCATATGTAATGAGTCACAGTTCTAGTCTGTTTCTTTTTTCCCCTCCAGAACATCCCTTATTTTATCATTTGACACAATGACTACCTGACTTGCATCCTCTAAACATGTCCAAATTTCTTATGATAAAATAAGAGTACAGCATAGAATCATAGAATGGTTTGGCTGGAAGAGACCTTAAAGACCATCCAGTTCCGACCCTCCTGCCATGGGCAGGGACACCTTCCACCAGACCAGGTTCCTCAAAGCCCCATCCAACCTGGCCTTGAACACTTCCAGGGATGGGGCATCCACAGCTTCTCTGGGCAACCTGTGTCAGTGCCTTACCAGCCTCACAGTAAAGAACTTCTTTCCAATATCTAGTCTAAATCTTCCCTCTTTCAGTTTAAAATTGTTACCCCTCGTCCTATCCCTACATGCCCTTGTAAAAAGTCCCTTCTCATCTTTCCTGTAGGCCCCCTTTAGGTACTGGAAGGCTGCTCTAAGGTCTCCCCAGAGCCTTCTCTTCTCCAGGCTGAACAACCCCAACTCTTTCAGTCTGTCCTCATCTCAATCTATTTCTTTGAAAGAAACATTCACAAGTCAACTTCCAAAGTTGCAACTGAAAGAAAAAAAATAGGTTTTGTGCCTTGAAGTAATGTTTCTATTTCCTTTTCTCTCATTGTTTTTCTGTGTAACTAGAAATGAAATATGCTCTTTCAGCACTAGAGACCCAACCAAAAACATTCACCTTTAAGAGTGAAGATTGCATATTTTGGGCACCTTGAAGCAAAGGTACTTATTGGTAAAACAAATACTGAACATGTGCAAATTAATGTTACAATTTATTATGATGATTATTTATTTCAACTCTCCATTCATTAAAAAAATACAAAAAATTCAAAACAACCAGCAGTGTACACAGTGCTGAAAACAATCCAGATGCAACAAAAAAAAGCATGTGCCATCCATCTGTAAAACATTCTGCGTGACAACTGTTTGATTAAGATGTAAATTTTCTCAGGAATCATGGGAGCTAGATGAGGTTTGTGGGTACATTTCTATGATCTCTGCTTAGCTAGCGAACTACATGATCCCACTCACTGCAAGCTTATTGTGCATCACAGCAGCCAAACGTAGCGCCTTGCTGACAGGGCTATGTGCTCTCACAGTGAACATGGACCAGCTACTGCTGACGTGTGGGAAGGGAGGAGAGAGGAGGGGAGAGAGGAGAGGAGAGAAGAGAGGAAAGGTGGTGAGAGGTGGCACTGCTGCCGCTCCTGCCACAACCACTGCCATCACTTGTCGCATCATCAGTAGCAGGTCCTGTCTTGGACCGTTCAGGCCACATTTGCTGTTCAGAAAAGCTCTCTGTCCACTCCCAAGGAAATACAATGGATGGAAGCGTTTCATGGGACCAGAACGCCTTAGAGCACAGTGCTAATTACAACAGTTTCTAGTAATTTAATTTAAACAAGTTAGAACAAAGAAAGCCATTCTCACCAAGCACACCTACACTAAGCTTCAGTTTTGGGTGAAAGAAGTATTTTTTTCGTAATGGGATCTGCAGCATCCACAAGAAACCAAACAATGGTCCTTTATTGCTTTGAAAATGTCAACCTAAAAGTAAGGAGGGACTACGCAAAGAGCAGGATATGCCTTCTAGTTGTGTTCTTAGATTTGCTGAACTTCAAAAAAAGTTCCATAAGGACAACACAAGCTGGTATTTCTGAATCAAAAAAAGTGGATCTGGGGGAAGAAAGGCATGCAGCCCCCATTACTACATCTCCTGATAAATCTAGGATCCTTAGAAGTGTATTAACTCCAAGTAAAAGCTAAAAAAGGAGTTTAAGGATGAATTCTGCTGTGGTAAAACTCCTAAAGTAGCAGCTTGATTTTAATAATCTAAAAGTATTTACATATTTATATATCTGGGAAAAGTGCACTTCAAGTATTTGTCTAGCACCCAGTGAAAGACAGTGGAAAGCCTATCTTGGATTTAACCAGTCAGCAAGTTTATAATATAAACACAGAACTGTATTAAAAACTGACTGATGTTTCACAGTATTTCTGTGAACGAGGAACTGTCAAAGACAAAACTTCTACTGGAATAAATCAGTAATTGCCCTGATATTCAAATTTTGAAATAATATTTGGAAGTAAACCTAAAGTAAGTTACCATGAACTCTGCATTCAAGGCAAAGATTAGTAGATGGTAATTAGCCAGGAAGCTAGCACTGCCCTATGGAACAACTGGATGGCTTTTTAACACAGAACCAATCAAATGAATGCATTTTAACAAAGCAAATAAAAGAATAGTTAGGTGACAAGCAAGGTCAATTGCAACACCGATACAAAATGGGGGCAAGAAGAATATTCCCATTCCGACACTGGATGCCACATGCAGATATTGAAAGAGTAGCAGAGACAGAGCTCAGCCATAGAAGTGATATGAAATTCAGAGAAAATATGTTGCAGTGAAAGACTTGAAAAGTACAATCTGTTTAGTTTATCATAAACAAGACCAACAGATGATTTAATCACTGCATACAAAAACCTTTGCTGGAAAAAATCTCACACCAAAATGACTCTTAAGATGCAGCAAAGATATCAGATGTCTGGAAGCCAAAAGCAGATAAATTCAAATAAAGAACTGCAAACTCTTAAATATGAAAACAACCAACTGCTCTAAAACCTCAAGTATAAAAAAAAGATAGTCTATCTTAATCAAAACTGGTGCATGTGAATTTGCCTCAATGAAGGGGTTACTGGGTGAAATTTAATAGCTAAGTCAGGCTAAGGTCACTTTCTAGTCTTAACTCTTCAATTTACAGAACATCTTATTTGCTATATCAAACAGGCACCTGTTCATGCTCTAATGAAACAGTGCGACACTCGGCAAGAAGTGATAAACATTCTGTGTACCTAATTAGTAGAGCAGCTGTTAACCAAATTTTTCTGTTAGCTTCGAATTGATAAAAAAATGCAGCTTCTAATTAGTACAGAATGTGCTTATCTTTTTCTGTTAGAAGTGTCAAACTGTTTCATTACCACAAAAACAGAAAATACTTTGATGTAGATAATACAATTTTAGCTATCACTGGTCCTTAACTATTTTCAAAAAGCTAAGTAGTAACAGAAAACCATACTATTCACCATATTGTGCGAGCTTAATGACATATAGGATATGAAATGAGGATAATTTAACCTCACACTTTTTCAGTTATAACTGACTTCTGAAGCAAATTATGCTAAATTTACTTTCCAAATTCAGTATTTACTAGAAATAATTCTGGATTTTTTTTTTTAAAAGAACTTTCTGCTTGATTTTTTTTTTCTTTGTGAAGATTTTGCCACCAAAACCATTGAGATTTCAGGTTCTTGATGGGCATATCTGGAAGGTACTGATCCTTGAATCCAAAGGCTCACTTAAGGAACCATGTTGAATTAAATTCCATTTTCTCCACTGCTGAAACAGAAAACTTTGGAAAGAGATTGAAAGATAGCCTTGAGTCTTCAAGTGCCTGACAAACTTGATTCTGGATGAAGGGCAGATTAGGTTTAGGCTCAGGTAACAAATCATAAACACTTAATGTGTGTATATTTGGAATCACTGCTTCAATCACCTAATGAAAACGCTCAGGTCTTCAACTTACTAGGATCTCATCATGCGGAAAAGAATAGTCATACTGAGCAGCATAAGCATCTAAAGATTCTGTCCTTCTTTTAGCAGGCTGTACAGTAAACTTAGAATCATAGAATCATTATGGTTGGAAGAGACCTCAAAGATCATCAAGTCCAACCGTAAAAACTTATCTCCCCTCAACCTTATGTGCTCTCTGGCTGACCGCAGTGTTGTTCTCTGCAGGAGCAAATAACCACAGGCAGGAGATACAGCTGATGCAGAGTATACTTGAATTTCCAAGAGACATTTAACAAAGCTTTTTCTTCAAAAGGTCTTAAAACCCCTAAATAACCAGGGTACTGAAACAGGAACTCACTTAGACATGTAACTGGCTAAAAGACAGAAAGGAGCTGAAGAAAATGATCAGTAGAGTAAGGCAGGGATCTGAACTTGGACATACAATACGCAACACATACTTTAGCAGTCTGACAGAGGTGATAAATAGTAAGGTAACGAAGTTTGCTAACATTACTGAGTTATTACTCTACAGTATTGGAGTTGAAGATTGGCTATGAGCCACTAAAGGAACTTATGATAGTGGATAAGTGGGCAAAAGAATGGCAGACGAACCTCAGTGCAAGTAAAGTTTGAAGTGATCTATGTGGTACAAAGACAATCAACTTTGTATCTACAGCAATGGGCTCTCACTTATACTCCTAAGGAAGAGGATCTTGGGTGTTCATTTAAAGATACTTTCAGTGTTCAGTAGTAGCCATAAAGCAAATAAAATATTAGTAATTATTGGAGAGGGAAGAGATAAGAAAGCATACTAAACCACATTTCTTCCCCATTCTCAAAACTGCACTGTTTTAAAATGGATGTAGGAGAGGAGAAGGGGAACTGGAAAAACTCCAGAGAGGCAAAAGCATGATTAGAAGCACAGAACAACTTCTACATGAGAAATGACTACATAAAGTCAGACTCATCAAACCAGTAAAGCAGAGGGGTAGGATAGACAGCCCTATAAAAGCCTACAAACTATCAGGAGTTAGGAAAGTATCACTCCAGGCTCATCCTGTTCCCATACTCTTAGTCAGGCACCCACTGTTGGTCATGGTCAGTCACAATACTGGGCTGCACCTAGCTTGGGCTGACCACACACAACCCTGTCAGTCTGGATGCCCTGCGATAGCCACAGCTACCCATTTCTTCATCCTCTTGTATTGTGTTCTTAGTGAAATAGATGAAGTTCTGAAACTAACTAGAGAACAAAGTGTGTTTGCTCAAGTTTTGCTTCTGGTAGGTATTTATTTGAGGATTCTCTATCTTGTCCATTTTCATAATCAAACCACAAGGCTGACAAAATCTCCATGACAGTCACTTATAAGCCTGTTTAGAATAGCTGTATCCTCTCCCTTGTGGGGCAGATGATGATTAGACCGTTTTCAATATTATGATGGCAATGTTAGACTGACAGCAAGAAGAAATAATAACATAGACGTTAATTCTGTACAGGAAAGGCTAATCACGAGGAGCAAAAAGGACCAGGAGAGAGAGACAGTCTCAGTACTTACAGCTGTTAAATATCACTGTCAAAGTTTTTAATCATAAAATTCACTTTATTCATGGACTTCATTTTGCGAAGTTTAAGCTATATAGCTAACGAACTTCAGTTCTACCTTTAAGAGACCAAGGGACTAGGACCTAACTGAAAACCACTTGTATGAAGAGAAGGGTTAGAACATTTTGCCATGTAGTTTGTTTCAAGTGAAGAAAAAAAAAAAAAGAAGAGAGAGACAGGGAGCACCCTGGTAATCGTTATGCCAATACAATATTACAACAAAACATACAGTAACATAGGAGATTTCTATTCTCATTATAATAACAGTAAGAAAACCAGAACAGAACTCCCTCCTCCCCTCAGTCTTTGAAAAACAATCACTTAGTCTCTTTTAAAGTAAATTAAAATGGACAATTGCTGTAACATTAATCTAAAACTTTAGACTACTTAGAGCAATTAATTTGATTTCATACATACCAAATACTCTGCAAAACTTGGAGGAAAGACATGCAACAATAACTCTCCCTACAGATGACAAGCTTCAGGTTAAATGAGGCATTTTAATAGACTAGCTCTAATCACTTAAAGCTAAAAGGTAATTTTGCAGTTCATGGCAGTAATCTGACAGTTTAAGACAATTTGTCTTGTTCTATAACTCTGCACTTACCCCTTGTTCATCCAGCTTCATAAGCTGTTCTGTGACTTTTGGCGTGTTGAAGGCCAGCCTTAGGCAATGGATATTCAGCTCAGGAACCACATACTCCAGCACTTCTTTTAGGGGAAGTCCCCTGGCTGTGCAATGCTTTGCAGTTGAAGGGATAGCATCTTCCAGCACAGAGCCTCTTAATGTCATAAGCTGAGCATACAAAACAAAAATAGTTTATATATTAAATTATGCACTGTGAAAAGGCTGACGAGCAATAGCAGTGGAGCCAAATGTACTATTTTTCCAATTCCCAAGAGAGATTTAGGACATTAAGTAACTTACGTTGTGTGAAACAGACACCGACATACAAAATGTCACTCACTCTGGTAGCTAACAGTAGTCAGAATATTTCAAATGATTCATGAGCTTTAAGTTTTACAGGAAACTAATACTTGGAAAAGATTAGTAGCAGTATTTCTAGCAGTGCATTTCAAAGTACAAAAGTACACTTCTCGGGTCTACCCACCATCACATATAAAAATGCAGGAAGTAATTTCCCTTCTCTTTGCTTGCTTCTAGCTAATATAGCTCCAGTAACTTTCTCAAGCTTTAGCCAAAACAGCCTTCACAGTTTCCTCTGTACTGGATGTTACGGAATACCTCACTCACCGATAACATTCACTTGTATTCTGTGTAATTGAAACATGCGACATAACTTTGTCAGGAGATTCCTTGACTATACATATGTAGAAGAGACAGAAATCTGCTGTGTGCTGTGTGCTGAAAAGCACACAAACCCCACACATACCACCTGGTTTTGCCTGCTCACTTCCAGCTTCTTTTACTATCGTTCTGGAATTGCTTACCTCACTGGTTCTGAATATGATCCGGTAGTTGTATTGAGGTCCATTTTCTTTGATTTCCTCTGGCTTCTCTCTTCTTATACTCACAGCTACTGGACCCAGGTTCTCATCTGCCCCAAAATAGTTCCAGTGTTCTTGCACACACACAAAAAAAAGAACACAGAAATTAAAGTCTGTCTTACTCTAACACTTCAACTATATTTTCATGCTTAGTTGTTATATTGGAAATAAATTGCCAGCTCCACCAGAGCCAATAAGAGCGTGTCTTCAGTGGTACCAGGATTTCTTTCTCGTGCTTCCCTTCTCTAGTGAGCTCCATTCATACAAGAAGGCTGAAATTCAACATTGCATCTCTGCTTAAACAGGCCTAAAACAGGATACACCTCTTACATTGGCTCTTACATCAAAATCTGTTTCATTCACATTGAGCTAAATAAGTACAACCAATTCCCCCTCCCCCCAAAAAATAAAACCAAGGAAGCCAAATGCGCCAAAGTGTGAAACTCACCACTCTATGTTAAAATGAGAGTGGCAAACAATTGTACTTAGCAAAGAATGTCACTCACTCACTTTTGTAGGGAAAAAACAAAAAACAGTCAAAGAAGTTACTCAGTTATAAAAGGGGAAAAACTGGTGAAGCTCAAAAAGAAGTTCAAGACTTGTTCATAGTAAGAAAAAAAAATAATCAAAGTATAGTACCATAGAAAAAGAGAATAAAGCACAAGAAACAAAGTGACTAGCATAACTATTTAAATAGTGAAGCGTCGAACAACTCTAAGAATAAATTTAAAGTGCTAAGAGTTGAGGGTAAAACTAGCCTAGTCAGCAAGGTGGCAGAGAGGAGAGTACAGGGCTGCAGAAATTGCTCACTAGCCGAATAGCAGATTATTTGAGATACATTTTTATATTCATTTAACTATATACATGTGAAGCCAAGGTCTATATGAACTATCTTGACTGATGACAGAGGTACATCACCATGAATGCAGCAAAGCTGCACATATCTCAAGTGATAACTAAATTTAAAAATACAATACCTGAAAGGAAAATTTGAGAGAAACTGTTCAAAAAAGTCAAGCATTGTACAAGAAAAATACATCCTATGTTATCTGCATATATGAATGAATGTCTAAATACACAAAAATAGAAAGGTAGAGATATCCGAAAATTCAACAATTCAAAGAAATGTGAAACTCAGTGGAATGAAAAAAGACGTAGTTGCCCTGAAAGGAAACGTAAAAATACTGCCTGAACTACTATATATATATATATTACTTGTTATTCTTAAAACAAGCAGAACTTTAAAACAAGAACTTTAAGAGCAGTCTAATATGAGCTATCCTGCTAGAGAGATAAAATGTAAAGTATTTTAATACTATCATCAAGAACTGCATCTTTAAAGATACTAAAAATAGACACCGAAATACACTCCATCTAAAGTGAACGGCAGTCATTTTTCCAATGAATAATCACTTGCAGTGCTAAAAATGTGAATGCCTCATTTTTTATTCTGTTTATTTTCCAAATTATACTTACTGGTTCTTGCTATACTTTCCTCCAACACACTAAATGCTTTTCAAGTAGATGCTCTCTCCTTATGAACTTCCTTGTGCCTTAGAATTACACTTTTGTCTTCACACAGCTGTCTACCCCTTTAAGCCCTTGGGTGCTCTATTCTATTCCTCAGTGCTCAGTATTTTATTACCCTTTCCTTAAATGTTCTCCATTTAACATTTCAGATCATGCAAGACATAAAAGAAACATGCTCGCAGCATTATAAAGCTGCTTTCTACCAAATTCCTCTGCAAGTCATCAAAAGCCAATATTCTGCACAGAGGTAATTAAGATTCAAAATTCTTTTAATATCTTGTGGAATATCCTGTAAATATTGGCATAAGTTTTGGGTGACTGAATTAGTCATGAGTGGGGAAATTATGAATAAGTTAGACTATCCACATAAGCCTAATTAAATCTTTATACTACTCCACTGATACGAGTCCTGTAAATGCCACAGAGATCTTCTGTTGTTTAAAAACCCAAACCATTTTATTAGCACTCTATCTCTTCTCCTGCTTCCATTAAGTAACTTGCTTTTTTTCAGGATGTTTGTAGCTCAAACAATTTATGGCAGAGGTGATCAATGCAGAAGCAGCAGAGTCATTGAGAACGTGAGATCAATTTTCAATCAGCATCTTATGCATCTTCCAAAACATGAGACAGCTTGGTCATCTCCACATTAAACTGCTTAGTGACTTAAAAACATTGATGTAGCTTTGCTTATACAATAGAGAATTTTAAAGAAAAAAAAGGTATGTTCGCAATACATACTAGAAGGGTCCCAAAATTACATTAGTTTTCTGTACTGACAACTGCACAGATGATAAAATTTGTGTATCTTGCAACCAGTCTAGCCTGCAATTGACAGAATAATTTCTCTTGAGAAAACTCTCCACATCTTGAAAACACATTCAGGAACGCTGGCAAAAGGAACATTTGAAGCCGCGTGAAAATACACATACATTTCTGTATCATTTGATTAAGCTTTTTATCTTGCTCCTATTAATTTGGAAAAAAGGCAGAAAGTGTGGAATTTTACATTTCTCTGCTAACAGGAAACGTCTTTTATTCTCCTTCCCTTCACTCTACACAGGGCAGTCATCTCTCTCGCTCTCCTATGCATCTCCTCAGTTCTCTCCTCTATTCACATTTACTACGGGGCTGTTCATTCTTTACTTCCATCTTTATTCTCTTTCTCCTCTTCTATCCTCCCTCTCCATATTAATTCGGCAGCTACAGTATATACCTCTGTATCTGACTACTTCTCCCTGTGGTACAGAGTTTCTTGCATCTCCACCTGATTTTCCACTACATCCTAAATTTCCTTGGATACAACCATTTTCTCTTTCCTGTAGCAGGAAAAGCAGCAGCAGAATTTAAGTGCACAAAGCTTAATATCCAATCTAAAGGTAGCTAATTAGGAGTTTAATTGTAAAAACAAGGGCATAGCCTCACTGAAAGCAACACTTCTCAAGCTTTATTTCATTTAAACTGCTGTTGAAAAATTATTTAATGAAAAGACATTCAGGAAACAACTAGCAATAGTCATAAGTTAACTTATAAATCCATGGCAAAAAGAAAGAATTAATTCCATGTACCGGGTCATTAAAACAGATTATGCATACTTTTAAAAATAGTTAAATAGTTATCATAATTCAAAAGACATTTCCAGTGCAAGAATCCAAGTGAAAATACTGATTTTCCTGGCAGATATTTGAGTTTTCCTTGCAAAGGAAACCCAAGTACACGCTCTTGATTTTGAGCGAGGAGGTTCTTTTGTGCTTTTATCATGTTTACCTTTGAATATCATATTCAATCGATGTATTTTGTTTAATCAGACCAGAAGTAAAAGTCCCAAGCATTTCACTTCCAAATGAAACTTGGCATCAAGCATTTTCCTCACCCCACCACAGCATTTACAGCACTGGAAAACTCTGTCCAGCAGTTCCCTGGAAAAAGGAGGGCAGCATTTTTCGAGCTTAGTCCTATAATGTCTTCAGACTGTTGCTCAGGACCAGACTGCTAACTGTAAACTCTCTGTAAGTTTAGCCACATACTTGAAAGGTACCGATTTGGGGAAAGAATATGCAGAAATTTAAAGCATTAGAGCAAAGGGGTTTTTTACTGGCTGCCAACAGTTAAAGGAAAGCTGACCAACAGCTCATTCGTTATAAAATCAGCTCAGGAGACTATTTACTTCTCAGTCAAGTCTTTCACTCTAAGCCAGTAGCTCAAATTTGTCCCAAATGGTAACAATATCCACAACTACTACGCGATGATGACCAAAGCTAAATGGACACTCTTGGTTCTTTCCATGAGAACTGTAGTTCCCAGACACAACTGGCAGGACAGAGAGAAGAGAGGGCTCCTCCAGAGCGACATGTTCTCTTTTCTAAGCAGCACTTACACTGATGGAAAAAAATTTTTCCATCCCTACAGTTTTTTTATTGATAATAAATAAGTCTTTAATATCAAGCTACAGATAGGCTAATAAGCATGGCTCTCCTTGAAAAATACTTTATTGCTAATAATTAACCCGTTACCTAAACGTACAAACATTTATAAGACTTAATCCAGAATACATACACAAAGATTTTTACCCATGCATGGGAAAGAAATTCAAGTCTTGATGATAAGTTATGGCCAGACATTCAGAATTTATAAGCAGAAAACAGAAAACATTACAATACTACATAAGTCTGCGGTTTGCTCGTGTCTTAAATATGGTGCCCTGATCTCAACTGGAAAAGGGTCAGAGAAGGGCAACAAAGTATGATTGAGGGAAGTAATATGGTTGAGGCTTATAAAACAAAACATAGCAAGGAAAGGTGAGAAAACCAAACTTTTTCACCTAGCAGTGAGACTGTTTAATCTGATGACCCTAGTTTTCATTCTGGAAGCCAGTAAAAATTGGCTTTTTATGACCAATGTAGTCAATCTGCAGAACATCTTGCTGCTGCAGGAGTACTGTGAATGCTGAAAGTTTATTCAGGGTAACAGACAACTGGATAATTGCCTGGAAAATAAGCACAAAGACTACTGAATACAAATGATGCTATCACCAGGCTAAGTCCATTATCTACACATTTGCAGAGGCTGGCAAAGTACACCCAGAAAGTATCACTACAACTTGGTCCTGTTCTTACTCCTCCAGTATCTGTTGCTGGCCTTTGCCAGAAGACAGAACTAGAAGTCTTGGATTGACCTAAGACAACTCTTCCCTTCTCTGGGAACTGTAATTTTATGTCCAGTAGCAGTGAGAAGGGTTTTGCTTCTCTCTCTTTTTTTTTTTTAACATAAACAGAAGTATTGCAGTCAATAGTATGAAATGGATTGTTGGGGGTAGAAAGTTATGTACTTAAGTAAAAATCTGTCCTGGTTTGGCTAAACAGGGCTA